GAGAGTGCTTGTAAGAGCAGATCGTCACTCAGCAATACAATGTACTTATTAGCGCTACCTCTATACCAAAACTCATCTCAGACCTGCATTCTAGCACTTGTCCCTTATCATCACTAACACAAGTTAATGAAGAGCACCATTTTTTTTGGGATGACCAGTGACTGGGTTCACAGGGCTTCAAAGCAGGACATGTTCAACACTGTCACAAACACTGGGGTCACATCAGCAGAATTAGGGTATAATAACTCAAAAATGTGAGTAGTTACATTAGCATTGCTTAAATGCTGCCTTTTCTAAAATTTGTTACAAATATAAAGTATTTTCTAGTGATTGTCTAGCTATCTATAGATATTTATATAGGTATGTTTTAGCAGTGAGACTATTGTGCACAATGCACACAGTAACATTCACTGTGGATGGGACATTTACTGCACAGGTAAGGTACAGTGATATTTTGGCATGCATGCGTTGCACAAAAATCTGTTAATAGCATGGCCCCGTGAGAGGAGAATACTGATGATTTGTCAACATATTGAACTATAATCACACACACACACACACACACACACACACACACTCTCTCTCTCTGCAGAAGGCTTAACCAAGGCTGGTGATGTTGGAACGACCACCAGGGGGTGCTACAATGCGGTGGCCAGAGCGCCGAGGAATGTTGTCGTCGATTTGAGCCCCTAATAGTAAAACAATCATAAAAATATACTTGCTGTAAAATACTGATAAAATGATACATTATTCAAAGGAATTTCTGAATATTATGTTCTTCGGGAATATAGTCTGATCCCATCTTACCTGATAGGCTGAAATTAGACTGATGCAGGTTTCTGATTGGTGGAGGCTGGTGTGTAGTGGGCGAGGTCTTGGCTGAGGGTGCTGGGGTTATGTATTTGGGTGTTGCTGGGACATCATATACTGGACCATCATACATCCCACGAGAAACTCCCTGCTTACTCATCATCTGGCAAAAACAGTTAAAGGACAGGTGCTTTTCTTAACAGTCTTTGCACCATATCACAACACATCTGGTTCATTATGACATTATCATTTATCAAATGAATGCTAAGCAAATACTGAGCCAATATTCTACTACACTACTAATTTTTCTTTTAAAGAAATCAATACTTTTATTCAGCAAGAATGCATTAAATTGATTAAAAATCCATAAAGACATAATGTGATTTCTTTTTCAAATAAATGCTGTTCTTCTGAATATGACATTATCATTTATCAAATGAATGCTAAGCAAATACTGAGCCAATATTCTACTACACTACTAATTTTTCTTTTAAAGAAATTAATACTTTTATTCAGCAAGAATGCATTAAATTGATAAAAAATCCATAAAGACATTTATAATGTGATTTCTTTTTCAAATAAATGCTGTTCTTCTGAACTTTCTATTTAGCAAAAATCCTGAAAATAAAATGTATCACTGTTTCCACAAAAATGTAAAGCAGCACAACGGTTTTCAAAATGCATAATAGTAATAAGAAATGTTTCTTCAGCAGCAAATCAGCATATCATAATGATTTCTGAAGGATCATGTGTTGTAATAATATTTTACAATATTCCTGTTTTCCTGTATTTTTTGATAGAAGAGATGTTTGAAGGCATGACCTACTAAATTAGCAAAGTATTGTCATATTCATTCCCCAGGTCTTTTAAGTGTAATATCTATGAAGCCTGCAATGAAACTGAAAGTGAGCAGAGCGCTTTTAATTTTTCAAAAATAAATTAATGCTTTTTTTCCAGCAAGGATGCATTAAACTGCAATGTTACAAAATATTTCTATTTCAAAGAAATGCTGTTCTATTTGAAATATCTATTCATCAAAGAATCCTGAAGAAAAAAATGTATCACTGTTTTGACAAAACGAAATGTTTCTTAAGGAACAAAATCCCCATATTAAAAACTATTTCTGAAGGATCGTGTGACACTGAAGACTGGCGTAATGAAGCTGAAAATCCAGCTTTGCCATCACAGACTAAATTACATTTTAAAGTATATTAAAATAGAAAACAGATATTTAATTTTACAATTTTTACTGTGTTTTTGATCAAATAAATGCAGCCTTGGTGAGCGTGAGACTTATTTCAAAAACATTAAAAATCATACCGAACCCAAACTTGTTAATGGTAGTTTATATATACAGCATAGCTAACTAAGACTTGAGTGAAGGTCAGTGAAATAATCAATGGATTAAGAGTCATACCTTATTGCGGTACTTGATGCGCTGGTAGGCGACGTCAGGGAAGGGCTTGCGGGAGATGAAACGTCCAGTCCCCTGCTGAACCTGGAGCTTCCCTTCCTCAAACACAATCCTACCCTGACTGACCACATACACTGGACCACCATGACACTCCATCCCCTCAAAAATATTATATTCCAGAGCCTAGAAATAGAAGAAGAGTGATGTACTAGAAGAAAACCCATCTTCCAGTGTTTTTTTCAAGTATAGACAAAATCACCATTAACATTTTGAAAGCTTTTAAGATTTAGGAAAAACTTAGTTTTGCAAATGTATTAGTTTTTATAAAAAGAGTGGAACAATTCAACAACCCATTACAGACGTGTAAAATTCAGTATTAAATAACTAAATAACAGCCATCCAGAGTATGGTTCAATATTCCAGCATCTTGCAGAGCTTTGTAATCCTCACCGACTGCTGTGCTTTGGCTGTGATGGTCTTGGTCTTGTTAGGGTCCCAGATAACAATGTCAGCATCTGAACCCACTGCTATCCGACCCTTACGAGGGTACAGGTTGAAGATTTTGGCTGCATTAGTGCTTGTAACTGCAACAAACTGGTTTTCATCCATCTTCCCCATAGCCTGTAGGGAACAAATTGAGTGGTTACTGATAAATGCAACCTGTACCTCAGTCCATATAAACATACATGCAGATGCACTTACCACAGCTTTGTCCCAAACGAAACCCATTCTCTCCTCCACACCATTGGTTCCCTCTGGTATAAGAGTAAAGTTGTCCTTCCCTATGGCCTTTTGAGAGGTGCTGTAAGCACAATGTCCACTACCCACGACCTGCAGATCCCCACTGAAGATAGAAGTTTAAGAGAAATGTAACTACAGGGGTAGCAGCTCCAAACAGAACATGATCTGTCCTCTAGAGCTAGTTGTGATGTTCTTTGTGACCTTATTTTTCTTTATAGGTTGCATAATGTGGCATAGAAATGTACACTATTGTTCAAAAGTCTGAGGTTGGTAAGATTTTTAAATGTTTTTGAAAGAAGTCTCTTATGCTCACCAAGGCTGCATTTATTTGCTAAAATACAGTAAAAACAGTAATACTGTGAAATATTACTACAATTTAAAATAACTGTGTTCAAATGTAATTTATTCCTGTGATAAAGTCTCAGTATCGATGCTACAGTCTTCAGTGTTGGTTGCATAATGTGGCATAGAAATTTACACTATTGTTCAAAAGTCTGAGGTTGGTAAGATTTTTAAATGTTTTTGAAAGAAGTCTCTTATGCTCACCAAGGCTGCATTTATTTGCTAAAATACAGTAAAAACAGTAATACTGTGAAATATTACTACAATTTAAAATAACTGTGTTCAAATGTAATTTATTCCTGTGATAAAGTCTCAATATCAATGCTCCAGTCTTCAGTGTCACATGATCTTTCAGAAATCATTCTAAAATGCTGATTTGGTTCCTTAAGAAACATTTCTTATTATCAAAGATGAAAACAGCTGCTGCTGCATATTTTTGAGAAAACAAATCGTTGGTGAATAGACATTTCAAATAGAACAGTATTTATTTGAAACCTTTGAAATCTTTTGTAACATTATAAAGTTTACTTTACTGACACTTTTGATCAATTTAATGCATCTTTGCTAAATAAAAGTATTAATTTATTTAAAAAAAGCTCAGTGCTCACTTTCAAATTCATTGCAAACTTCATAGATATTACACTTCAAAAACCTGAGGGATAAATATGACAACTCTTTGCATTTTTAATAGATCATGTCCCCAGATATCTTTTCTATCCTTTGACCAACCAGCTTAGCTACTATTCGAGATAGCAGATTGAGCAGAAAGTATTAGACATTTCCACTAAACTGACAAAAGATTTGCTTATTGAGCAACTAGCATCAGGAAAATTACACTGTAAAAAATGATCATGATTTTAATGGTAAGAGACAGTACGCTATAGTAAAAACCTGTTAATTGGTTAACAGTAAGTTTATGTACTATATACAGTGAATAGCTGTAATAGATCTAACCTTTTTATAATATATATAATACCTTATAACTTTTATAATACCTTATTTAATGTAATTTTACAGTAAAATGCTATCAAATTTATGGTTTTTGGAAGTGAAATGAACTACTTTTATTGTATAATTTAGAGTGAAAAACCACTTAAAAATTGACATTCCCAGAATTCCCCGTGTGACACCTCACATTTGATGTTTTTTTTTGTTGAAATAACTGTTTCTTCATTTTTTTTCTTATCACTTATGTATATTAGGGTTTTTATCTTACATCAAATGTCGTTAAATTAATGTTTATTGCATTATTTTAGTGGCATACATGTTACCATGATGGTGTTTAGTATTTGTGTGAATGACACTGAGCACGTTTCACATATTAGTATTTACCTCCTCAGCTTTGGAAAAGCTGCTTATCATGAGCTTTGATTCATCATGTGACTTTCATCAGTGTACAGTGGTTTCTGTGAAACTGAAATGGTTTCTTCATGTTGGCTAACCATACAACCAGGCCCAACTGAATTTGTCAGCTTCAATTAAATATATGGAATCCAAATGGATGTATAAACCTTTGCAGGTGTTTTGAGTTGATTAGCTGATTGGCATGTCACCATATTCTAATTTGTTGAGATAGTGAATTGGTGGGTTTTTGTTAAATGTGAGCCAAAATCATCACAATTAAAAGAACCAAAGACTTAAACTACTTCAGTCTGTGTGCATTGAATTTATTTAATACACGAGTTTCACAATTTGAGTTGAATTACTGAAATAAAGGAACTTTTCCATGACATTCTAATTTATTGAGATGCACCTGTATAATCCTTACGGATATGTGTGACTGTTGTTTGTCTTCAGATCATACATATAATCTAATACTTGATCTTTGATCTTTTTCTAGAATTTCCTCTCATCCGTTGGTCCCATCTAATGTATCTAAGCTAAAAATAAATGTCCTCTCTCCAGCTGTGTCAGTCTGCCTCTGTGTGACAGTGTGTGTGTGTGTGAATCCCTGTGCCTGTGAGTGTGTGTGTGTGTGTGTGTGTGTGTGCATATTGTATGTGTGGCTGGCCGTGGCTGTCAACATAATGACATCGCTCTCATAGTCTAACAGCCTGCAAGTCTACAAGTTATGTGTGTGGGGGGAGAGAGGATGATGGTGCTCTGTAACCATGGCAACAGGAGATGAAAGCCTGACCTATTTTTAGAAATGGGGCCAGGAAAAGGTGTGTCTGCGATCTGGGTGTAGCAAAGAGGCAAAGTAATCGAGAGAGTAGATAAAAAATTGGTAGATAGTGCCACTTGCCCAACTTGTTGTTACACTGCATCTACACTAATGATGCAAATGTAGAAAAAACTCAAAATTTCTTACCAGGACAGTAGAGAGTGAAGGTGGTCAGGTGTCGTCGGGTCAGGGCTGAGGGGTGGAGAGGTCACATAGGCTGCTGCTTTTGCCCAGTTTTTGCTCCAATAGTGTGATCCATCTGTTGCCAAGCTGGCTGTGATTGGCTCCCCAAAAACAACAGAGCCTAAAGCCAGTGCAATGAAAAGAATACATACAAATTTATGGATTCATTTAAAAAAAATTATGCTATTCATACCATTCAAAAATTTAAGGACAGTAAGATTGATTTTTTTTTTTGAAAGAAGTTAACTTTTTTTCAGCAAGGATGCATTAAATTGACTAAAAGTAACAGTAAATACTTTTAATTAGAAAAAAAAGAAACATTAAATAAAATAAATTCTGTTATTTTCAACTTTCTATAATGCTAAAAAAAGATCATTAATAATATAAGAACATACATTGATAATTATAAAAAAATTATTCTTTAGCTGCAAATCATATTAGAATGATTTCTGATCATGTGAGACTGAAGACTGAAGGAATGATGCTGAAAATGCAGCTTTACCATCGCAGGAATAAATTCTATATTAATAATATATTAAAATAGAAAACATAATACTAATAATATTTCACCATTTTTACTATATTTTTGATGAAGTAATGCAGCCTGGATGAACATAAGAGGCTTCTTTCAAAAATATTAAAATATGAATTCAGCATGCAACAATATTTCACAATTTGCAATCACCTTTCTTCCGTGCAGTGGCCACAGTATCAGCTGCACTTTTACTCATCACTTTGGTGATGTAGACAGGGCAGTTGACTCGGTTGCCAAGGGTGATGGCACGGAAAACAGCCTCTGCCTCCAGCTGTGAAACAGACAACCAATTACATCAGGACGCTTAACACCACTGAAAGTGGCTGGATAAACAGTTACTCAGTTAAACTTATAATTAATTCGACAATTTGTTTATTGATCCCACCTCCTCTGGACGGCTCAGTGGGTGGCCCTCTGGACCGGTGATGCCCATTCCCAAGATTTTGCTTTGTTCCTTGAACACAAATGTTGTAAACATGAAAAAACAGTAAATGGCACCTAAATATTTTGGAATACTGTATGGCATTTGCTCATTAGTCAACCTGTGCTATCAGGTCTCCATTCTCTGCATGAACCAGAACCACTGCCCCCAGCTCCTTAAGGAATGAGAACGCTTCATACAACTATAGGGGAGAAAGAGAGATCAGATTTTATTATATTACAATGCAGAACGTTCTATAGATGGAAGCATACAGTAGATGGCAATGTTGCAAATGGCAACATCAACTAACCTGAGAGTCAGGCATTTGAAATAACCCTTTGTAAGCCATGTACACTTGGAAAGAGTTGATTCCTGCCAAAAGAAGAGAACATTAACATGTATTTCCAAAGATATACAGTACCATTCAAAAGTTTGGGATTGGTAAGATTTTCAGTGTTTTTGAAAGAAGTCTCTTCTGCTCACCAAGGCTGCATTTATTTGATCAAAAATACAGTAAAACTGTAATATTGTGACATACAAATTAAATTCAGTTATCCATTTTCAATATATTTTAAAATGCAATTTATTCCTGTGATCAAAGCTGAATTTTCAGCATCATTACTCCAGTCTTCAGTGACACATGATCCTTCAGAAATCATTCTAATATGCTGATTTGGTGCTCAAGAAACATTATTATCAATGTTGAAAACAGTTCTGCTCAATATTTTTCTAGAAACAACTGATACATTTTTCAGGATTCTTTGATAAATAGAAAGTTCAAAAGAACTTTTATCTTAAATTATTTTTATAACATTATAAATGGCTTTACTGACACTTTGACCAGTTTAATGTGTCCTTACTGAATACAAGTATTAATACTTTTTTTATTTTTTATTTACTGACCCCAAACATTTGAGCAATAAGTGTATTTACAATCATTAGCACTTCAAGTTGTTGAAATTCAAATTTCAAATATGTGATTACAAATTTAAATATGTGTTCACCTTTTTCCTGTACCAGCTGTTCCAGCTCCTCCTTCACACCTTCATGCCAATGTGGGATATCCACATGAAGTGAATAATCACAGCAGGACTTCTTATCAGCCACTTCCTGCCACTTCTCAAAGGCCTCCAATAGACTCTCACCAGGCTGTGGAGTCACATGGTCAACTGAAAGAGAAGATGACGGATTCTGCTCAAACTGGTCTTGAGATTTTTGGTTGGTTTTTGTAGACTCTATTGAGCCATTTCTATTATTTTCTATTGAAGATGCTGTTAGTTTGCTGCTTTAGTCTTTGATTACTCCATTAATCTCTGTATGTTCCTCAAAGACTTTTTTCACGTGCACAAAAACTCCTTTCACTCTTTGTGGCTGGAAATGATGTCACTCACAACAGCTAATAGCTCTGATTCATTGTTTAAGTAAGGAATAATTGACGACGGGCCATTGAATTATTAGAAAAATAATGCACACCCAAGGTGGTGATGCGAAGTGAAGCGGAGTGGCCGTTACACCTCGGGTGTGCATTATTTTTCTAATAATTCAACGGCCCGAAGTCAATTATTCCGCTTATACTACTGTTACCACACCTTAAGACATTGATCAGATTATATATATATATAAAGGTATTCGTCCGGTTTTTGTACTTAAATCGCTATTGTAGGATTATTTCTTCTGAGTGCTTAGGAAAGGCTTATGCAGGCAGGTGTTCACATCAATACCTCCAGGAATCACCAAACACCCATTAGCCTCAATCACCTTCACGCCCCCCGGCACAATCAGGTTCCCCCCAACCTGTCTGTAGGAGAGATAGAGGGTTTAATAAAGCGCAGAGAGGGCCAAAGAAGGAAAAAATATTCATGGGACCAAATACATACTACAAATGTACTATATTACACGAAAGATTCAAATGTAGGTTTTTAATTAAAACATCAAGGTTATAAAGAGATTTTTAAGGCCTGATGCCACAGGAGAATGTCATATTATGCCAAATAAAATATGTTATGAAATACAATGCAATTACACATTATTACATTCTATTGACAGCCACAGTTTTTTTTTTACTTCAAACTAATTATCTAATCAGTATTAATGGGTCTTTGTGCAAGAAAACATATAGCTGCATTTATAAAAGGGTCCCTGGCAATCATTATATTTGGGGTTCCTTGGAATCAAAAAGTCTCAAACCCCAACCATAAGGTATATACATATACCTTACATTTCATAATATGCACCATTTTTCATGTATCATTGATATTCATATTAATTATATGCAATTGCTAGTAAAAACTTGCACTGCGCTTTGGAAATAAAGTGTTAATTTGCTCGTGCATGACGTTAAGTCAATCTTCAACATAAATCAACATAAATGTCAACATATAAAGATATATACAGTATATATATATATATATATACACACACACACACACACACACACAATTATTTCTTAACATTAAGCAAACTGGACATTTTTACATTATTGGAATGTCTCATATTAACATTTCTAGGAAGGTGAGTTGTTAAAACAATTAAGTTTCAGAAACATTGTGCTAACCTTAAAATAACATTCCACTACCATTAAGATAAATGAATATATTTTATAATTGCTGCATAGAGCCATTTAAGAACTACGTGTGATTGCAGTAATTCCTGTGTGCTGTATAGGTACTGTATGTTAATTTCCGTTATTACAGTGAACTATGCGAAGTGATATGGAACTGTAACGCGGTCAAGAGAGCTACCTGGAACTACGTTCGCCGTGCGTTTCCCTGAAAATAATTGCACACCTCAGAACGTTCGTCAGCCAATCAGATTCAAGCATTCAACCGTGGTATAAAGAAAATTACAAAGACAAAATCTGGCTGGCTGTAGCTGACATGCAGGAGATGCATTCCTAGGGCATGTCCTTGTAACACACACACACACACACACACACACACACAATTATTTCTGATTTCTAAAAATGAATGAATTCTTTGGAAATAATGTTCCTTTCACATTAAGCAAACTGGACATTTTTACATTATTGGAATGTCTCATATTAACATTTCTAGGAAGGTGAGTTGTTAATACAATTGAGTTTCAGAAACATTGTGCTAACCTTAAAATAACATTCCACTACCATTAAGATAAATTAATATATTTTATAAGATGCTGCATAGAGCCATTTAAGAACTTTTTTGCATGTGACTGTGATCGATGAGCAGGTTTCATGCATGCGTCATTCATATTTATATTAATGTTAATGAAAAATTGCATTGTGCTTTGGAAAAAGTGTGCATTTGCTTGTGCATGATGTCTTACTTAATAATTCCATCTTCAACATAAACTTTGTTGTGTCTCGCGGGTTTCACAATAATGGACATGAAATGTTGACGTATAGGCTACGTAAAGCGATTGAAAGAACGGAAAGGAGGACTAAGAATCTCCAACAACTGGCAGTGCTACATTTGCTACAAGTGCCTGCACTTCAGCATCCGTCCATCTATCGCTGTTCTCCATACTTGCAAAATAAGTTGACACGATGTTTACAGTATGTTTACACTGTGTTTTAAGTCATGGCGGGTGAGGGCGTTTTCGTACGCGTTTGGCCAATCAATGTCTGCTTGCGTCACGATTAGTACCAGTTGTGCTGGTTAGACCCTGCTCCGGAGTAGGAGCTAATTTGGTTCTCGAAAAAGGCAGTCCGGTACTAAAATCGCTCCCAGTTCTGGCGGTCCGAAAACGCCAAAAAGTGGGTAGTTCCACAATTAGTTCTGGTACTATGAAAAGGTTCCTGCGGTGCGAAAGGCCCTTATTAGCTCTCACGGTACTTCGATGTCATACACCGATCGGTCTGCGCAGCGCAGCTTCAAGTCGAACACATCTAATTATTATTGAACAATTGCAAATAGCAGTTAACTTAATTCACGTGATGTGTGCACTGCTAGGCATCTTTGGTTTCCTCTTTTTGTCTAATTTAGATGGAAAATGTGTGCCTTTTTATCATTTGAGTCACTTATCAAAAGTTGCTAAAAGTTGCCAAATAAATAAAAAAAAATAGTTACATTTGTTGCTAGGTGCTTTTGGAAGAAAAAGTTGCTAGGGTAATCTGAAAAGTTGCTAAATCTAGCAACAAAGTTGCTAAGTTGGCAACACTGGTTCGGAGACGTGTTTCGTATATGTTGGAGCGCCCCCCTCACATGAAACAAAAAGAGGGAGAACTGGGCAAAAATCGGTGATGAGAATGTCGGGGTTTTGGGTCAAGTTTTCTTAAATTAGCTTTTTTTTTCTACGATAGGCTATATTGAATTTAAAGTCTCAATGGTCATTTCAAAATTCCAATTTCTAGATTCTAAATAATTTATAAATAACTTTCTATTAACATTAAGGAAAGTAGACGTTTTTTTTGCATTCTTAGAATGTTACCAATAATGTTAAGTCAATAAAAACAAAAATTGAAAGAACGTTGCAACATCACGCTATAAGTTTAAAATAATGTTCCACTAAAACAGGACATGTTCACGCTTTTAGAACATTTCAACAAAACCCATCACTGAATACCTGGAAAACTTTTTTCCTTCTTTTCTTTTCTTTTCTTTTTTTCAACCTATCTGAGTGAGCTGATAATAATGAACTGATAATAATAAAGATCACATTATAACCTAAAGCTAATATAAAAACTGGCCAAACTGGCAAATATCTTCAAAGAGACAAACGTGAAAATATTGTAAAATATAGTAAAATAATGCAATAGTCATTAACTAAATATCAGAAAATGCACTTTATGCGTGAGAAAAAACAATAACAACATTTGATGGCTGGCACAGGAAATTCTGGGAATGGCCCATAAATTAGCCTATAAAATAATTTGTAACTTTTTATTTAGAAAAACATTCATGTAACAACATTTTACATTTTCTCGGTACATTATATAATTCGAAATTATTACTAGCTAAACCTAAAGTTTTTTGTTAGTTTTCTTATTATAGTAAAACAGTAGCTATTGGATTTTAAATATTGTAGGCCTATATATATATATATATTTTTTTTTTTACCATATAAAGGCAACTTTAACTAACTATAAGGTTTTTGCTTTCACGATTTATAATACGCTAAAATAGGCTATACGTTTTATTTGTTGTGTATGTTTGGTTTCTTATTATAGTACAATTAGGGCTACAGTATTTGATTGTAAATGTAATTTTTTCCATATAGTAAGGTAACTTACTTTACTAGGCTATATTTTACTACATTTTACCATATATAGTAAGGTTTTTAATTTCGTATTGTATAGCCTATCAAACTAGTAACAATAGCCTATGTGCAGTGTGTTTATTTTATGCTTAACATAAAATATGTTGTTAATATTTTATAAGCAAACCTTGTGCTTGCATGTTCAAATGCGCCGGAAAATTACTGTATTGTTGCGCATAAAATGTAAGCCCACCTTCCCGTTGTTTTGCTCGTAACCACATTCCTTTTCAGTCTGATCCGTGATTTTGACACCCGGACGCCCGTCGTCTCTCTCACCCGGGGAGCTGATGAAGGTCCCGCCGCTGATCTCACAGGCTTCAAAATCCCCATCCACGATGCGTTCCCTGCTACTGCTGCGTGAGCTCCTGTTCTCCTTCCTCCCTGCGGCGTACTGGTCAAAAGCGATAGTCTTGCTATCATACGCGCCCTCGACGGAGCTGAACATTCCGTGAGACTTGTGACGCTGGCTGGGTCCAGTCGAGATGGGTTTAGCCAGGTACACAGGGAGCTCATCCTCCCGGTTCCACTGTCGCCTGGAGTCCGACATCACTCACAGGACGGCAACGATGCTCTAATAGCCTACAATGATGAAGCGAGATGCCAGTGCAGAATCCAGGTCAGCCTTGTTTGCCTGGGGATGCGAAGGTCGCAGCTTGCAGACTGATAATACGAATATGCTGCGATCTACTTTCCAGACAGGAGGGCAGTGATATAATAACGCGCTTTATTATGAGCTAGTCCGAATAATATTGCATCCTCAAATCCAGTAAACTCTGAACACTGGTAAAAGCAAATTTAGTTACTTGTTTTAATTCAGGCCTATATCAAAAAAAAAAATTCTGTTTACTTTGTCGAGTTGTAGATTTGGGCAATGCAGTGACTGCATCCTCCATCCGAAAGTGCGTGCAAGATGCGCAAAAACACGACTTGCATAAAACTATCGGTCTGGGTAAACGCATGGAACTTAGTGGTGTGTTTGAGTCGTGAACGAATCAGTATTTTGAACAAATCTTTCAAATGAATGAATCGTTCTCATTCATTTACACGCACTGACTTACAGTATGGGAAAGAACAGAATCATCTCATTTGTGAACGAAATGAACGAATCATTTTGGGGGGACAGGTTTTATTTGTCTATAAATACTGTATCACAGTAGATAGATAGATAGATAGATAGATAGATAGATAGATAGATAGATAGATAGATAGAAATACATGAATGAATGAATAAAGTTGAAATTTGTGAGATGCTTTAAGCACTCTTTAAGAGTCTCATACAAAGATTTGTTTCGATATGAACAACTGTTTTTAACGACAAGCTCGAGCATTTAAAGCGGCAGACAACATAACTATGAAGTTATCATTCCGTTGGCATGGAGATTAATATAGTTATCATTATAATTATCTTTTTGGTGTTGACGGGTCTTGGCTGCAGAAACGGCCACTTATGGGATCAGATACCCGCCAAATGTATTGCAGTCATGGATAAAAAAATAACAAGTGTGAAACCAAAATTTAAAAACGCAAGTAAAATTATATTGCACAACATTTTAAAATGAAAGCAAAGTTTTCAGAATAGCAAACAATGGTCATAGATCAAAAAAATAATAAGTGTTAAAAATGTAATAACTTATTTAAAAATAATAATAAGCATGAATCAAAACTTTAAACACATTTAAAATCATATTGCACAAAACTGAAATATTCATGCAAAATTACAGCATAAGAATACAAAAAATAAAAATATGTGCAGAAAATGTCTGAGAGCACAAAAAACTGAGAAATATAACCAAGGAAAACATGATTTTGTGTGCAATTCGGATAATTTTGCATTAATATTTCAGTTTTGTGCAATATGGTTTTAAATGTGTTTAAAGTTTTGATTCATGCTTATTATTTTTTAAATGTGTTATTACATTTTTGATTTACACTTATAATTATCTTTTTGGTGTTGACGGGTCTTGGCTGCAGAAACGGCCACTTATGGGATCAGATACCCGCCAAATGTATTGCAGTCATGGATAAAAAAATAACAAGTGTGAAACCAAAATTTAAAAACGCAAGTAAAATTATATTGCACAACATTTTAAAATGAAAGCAAAGTTTTCAGAATAGCAAACAATGGTCATAGATCAAAAAAATAATAAGTGTTAAAAATGTAATAACTTATTTAAAAATAATAATAAGCATGAATCAAAACTTTAAACACATTTAAAACCATATTGCACAAAACTGAAATATTAATGCAAAATTATCCGAATTGCACACAAAATCATGTTTTCCTTGGTTATATTTCTCAGTTTTTTGTGCTCTCAGACATTTTCTGCACATATTTTTATTTTTTGTATTCTTATGCTGTAATTTTGCATGAATATTTCAGTTTTGTGCAATATGATTTTAAATGTGTTTAAAGTTTTGATTCGTGCTTATTATTTTTTTAAATGTGTTATTACATTTTTGATTTACACTTATTATTTTTTGATCCGCGACCATTCTTTGCTATTATGAAAACTTTGCTTTCATTTTTAAATTTTGTGCAAAATAATTTTACTTGCGTTTTTAAATTTTGGTTTCACTCTTGTTATTTTTTTTATCCGTGACTGCAATACATTTTGCGGGAATCTGATCCCATAGCCACTAAGTGAACGAATCTTTAGTAAACAGAATAGATTCGAGTCACTGAGAATCAAAATCACCACTAGTAGGCTGTTCAGTCTAGCGTTGGTTCCTATGCTGTCTCCTTCTGTCTCACAAATAGCACAGGGGTATAAATTGGTATAATGAACATATGGAGCTGTTTTTCAGAACTGCAGGAGCGTCCCACAACAACTCTGCAAACTGCGTCTTCTATGAGCAGGCCTACACCACTGTGCGAGCAAAAAGCTATTATTATTACTTCGTTGACATGTAGTGGCTGTGTTTTGTCATGCGAATTCAAATTAAGTGCGATGACAACCATTTGAGCAATACTCACACTGCTCGATTTGTATCCAATCAGAGAGCAGGTTTCTTTGATTGGCACTTAAATTATCCAATGGAAGCTCCGTTCTCTGGAGGTATGGTGGGTTTTAACCATAGACTGTAAAAAAACAACTGCCATTCCTTTTATTTACTGATTTACTACTTTTAATTTCAGCCCAGTTAATCTCTTGAGTCTGTCAAAACATATTGTTTATATTGTGTACACACATTTATTTGGTATATGTAGTAGGTCATTAAAATGTATACAAAAATACAGTTAACATGTCAAAACCATGTTATGAATTTGGTTATTTATATAGGTTAATTAAATGTGTAAGAAATGTCTACAGGGAGCACCAGTTTTTCTTCACTTATTCTCATTTATGTGATCTAATTATGTGTTCTTTCAAAATTGGTTAACCTATCAACTTCATAACATCGTTTTGACATTTAAACTGTACTACATACACCAAGCAAATTTATAAGAGTATACAGTGCATATATACCTTACAGAGAAAAACTTGATTTCTAACTTAAACACTTACTCTCATTATACATATTTATGCTTATGTCTATGCACTTTATGTTTGTTATCTTTTAGGTGAGATGAACGTTAGTACCAACCCACCACCCACAAAACTCCTGAGACTCTCAAGGAGAATAGTGCAACTCACAAACGTCTCAACCCTCCTGTTCCATCAACCAAATCCAATCCAGGCAGACGGCTGGTCCGCCTCTCTCCAGTTCTGGCAGCCCAGACCTACCACCTAAATCCACCCCTTCTACAACTCAATATACTAATGGCAGAGTCTTAACTTTGATAAAGAATATCTCTTTGGTTTTGAGACTTTAGTCTTTGCAACTTCAGGGATCTTATCTATGCACAATCAGCTTGTAACACTCCAAAGAGAAAGGAAAACTTGAAATCGCATCAAATGACCCCTTTAAAACCTCACTTTCCAGCCAGACCAACACCTGAAAACCCAGCAACATCGAAACCTACACCTACATCATCACATATCTCTAAAAGATACTACTCCAACTATGCCAGCTAGATCATTATCAAAATCAACACCGTTAAATATATATTCTACCAATGACCCATCCACACTCAGCATCACCATTTCTGCTGATCTTTTCTGACACAATCTACAACTCCGCCTGAAAGTTTGCAGTCCTCCACCAAAACACCTGCAGCGGGTTCCAGTAAACTCCCATGTCAACGGAGCTTTTTGGCTGCAGCCCAAAAGGTGATGATGCAGGAGAAAATAAGAAAGGCTGAGGAACAGGCCAAAACTGAAGAATGTGGTAAGTGACGCTTTGCATAAAAATAAAACATGTCTGCTGAAGAAATTAGTTTTGTATTATCCAATTTCAGAATTCTTTGTTGTATTTAACTTTTTGAAATTCTTTCAAATACTTACCTTGTCAAAAATCAATTTGACCTAATTACGTTTGATATTTTTGATAGTACCATATTAAATGGTAATTTCTTGATATACAGTACATTCAGTATGCATTGCACTAAAGGAATGCATCTGAATGAGGGTCATCAGTGAGACATGCTAGTGTGTGCTAGCTTTATTTTCACCAAGAGCATAAATCCTATTTTTTATCACAAACCAATGTGCTTCTGAGGAGCAAATCTTCATGAGGACGTCAGTGTTCACGAAACAGATCCACCTCTAACTTAAAATATTAAGTGTATAAATATATAAGGGATACATTTATTTACTCATGGTCTGCTTTTGCTTTTGTGGCTTGGTTTCGGCCTATAGTGTCAGAAGATAATGGAGACGTCAACTCTGAAGATTCATTCAGGTGCAATTAAGAACCTACTGTCTATATCGAGGCCATAAAATTAAATCAATGACACAAAATCAAGTAAACAACCCAGGTGGCAGGAATCTATAGACTAACAAGTTAAGTAAAAAATATCTCATCTTTTCAGGCACACTCAAGCTGTTGTTTCCTTTAATCAACATTAATTATGATCAAACAACCAGGACCACATGATTCACCTTAGATTATTTCGCAAAGACGAGCATAGTTGAATTATTTCGAGGATTTGTGGATTCATTGACACTTCAAGTTTAATATTGTGTCAAAATAGTGTTGGCATAATTGTGACTGTTATCTCTCCTAGATGATATGGATGAAGATCTGCCTTTTGAGGAACTTCTGAAGAAAGCTGAAGCTGGAGACCCTAGAGCACAAAGCAGAGTGAGTGCATGAAAACAAATATGTAATATTTGAAATAATATTAAAATCATGATTATTGTCATATTATGAAATAATATGACAATGTGAAATTGGTTATAAAATTTTGTTTTACGAAAAAAATATAATTTCTAATTATGAACATATAAACTAATAAGCAGAAATTATATCTCATAACTTATGTAAATTATAAAAGGGGACTAAATCCTATTCGACAATCGGGTTCCTTTCTTCAAAGGCCTTACTTGATTAAACATTATGGTTGTGAATTTGGAACTTAAACCATTGTGATGCTATTGGCTCTGTGTGAAGCTCTTCTCAATATAATAAACACAAGTGTTTATAATGTAGCTATAATATTTTAAACAATCCGCAGTGCATTATATACAGATGAAATTCTGTAGTGTTTCTGTCTGCCTTAAAAGTGTGTTGAGTGTGTCTATTTTCAGCTTTCTGGAAGATGATCCCAGTCTCAGTATAACTCAATTGCTTCTGCGTGTACATATTCTCATACACTCAAAGTCAGACCAAATGCATCTACATATTTGGACTCAGCTTTGAGTACTCCAATTCCCCTTTTCTTCAAAATGAATTCCACACCTATACTGTTCTCATTCATAATTGGCTAATTAGCCTCAAGTAAATAAAGCATTACAGAGAATGGAGATCTAGTCTAGTAGATGGGCCAAACATCTGACAGCATAGTTCACTTTCTGTTAATTATTTTGCACTAATCTGTTATTGTGTTGTTAAAGGCCAACTGTAAACCTCTTACCATGGT